AAGGGCAGCACAGTGGGGAGCAAGGCCGGTATGTGCTGCCTCCCCAGAGCCCAGGGCCAGGTCCAGGGCTAGGAGGCAGCTGGAGCCAGGGCCAGGGCGGAGAGGTAGCAGATATTTGCAGCTGGCCCAGGTTCTGGGTAGCTGCTGATAGCCACAGAGCCCAGGCTGCTTGTAGCAGAGCTTCTATCCTCCCAGCCAGCTGGTGGGAGCAGCCCAGGCTCCGTGGCTATCAGCAGCTACCCAAAGCTGAGGCCAGCTGCAGCCAGGAGGCTACAACTAGCTGCTGCTCTCCTGCCCCAGCCCCAACTGTCTCCCTGCCCCGGGCTCCGGGAAGGCAGCAGGTGCCAGCACTGTACCTGTTGGGGCCAGGGTCAGGGTTGGGGAGGCAGCGGTTGTTTGTAGCCTCCTGGCTGTAGCTGGCCCGGCTCTGGTTAGCTGCTGATAGCCACGGAGCCCAGGCTACTCCCAGCAGGGCTTGCAGCCTCCCAGTTGCCTGCTGGGAGCAGCCCAGGCTCCCGGCTGGCAGCAGCTACCCAGAGCTGGGGCCAGCTGCAGCCAGGAGGCTGCAAACAGCTGCTGCCGCTCTGCCCCCAGCTCTGGCCCCAACACGTGCCAAGGAAAACGGCCTCACATGCCATGCTCAGCACACGTACCAGGGGTTGCCAACCCCTGGCCTAGCCTAAGACAAAACCTGGGAGGAAACCACCAGTTTCCCAGCATCTTTGTCTCTTTAATACGCCTTGCTGCATTTCTGAAAACACTCTCAGGGCAGTGCTGCCTTGTGACAATGAAAACAGAGTAACAGCACAACAGGAAGCCTCGGAAGCACAGCAGCCATAGAATCTTTAACAAGCAGTGACAATTCCACCAATTATTTTATCAAAGGCTCTGCTCCTCCTCGCTTGAGTTTGTACAGGGACTAACAAAATGGGGTCATAGTCAATGATTAAGACTCTAAAATACTATTGCAAAATATAAATACTGCCTGAAAGAATTTGGTGCATGTCCTGTCTCCCTCATTCCTGATTCATTACAAGCAACAAAAATATAACATGCAAGTTAGCTGTGAAACAAAGTTATGAGTGGTTGAGTTACCTCCAACACTACAATGGACTGACCCGCTTAAGAGATGCCAGAATTGTTGAAATTATTCTTGCTATAATCTGTATTAGAATATTTAAAAATAAAGTGTGTTAATTTGAACATAATTTCTATACCTGCAGCCTCAATCAATTTTTAAAAGGTAGAAAGTTTGAGAGGGTCTTTTAAAATTCCATTATTACAATCATTCAGGATAAGGAAAACACTGGTATCTAAAATTTCTTAAATGACTGCATCTAATTTAATCTTACCTCCACTTAATTAAAGATTACTTAAAAATTCTCAGAAAAATTCACGCTGTGCTCAAAGAATAAGTGCTACACTTTTGATTTAAATACAAACTGGAACTCAACCTTAGCTACAAAGCTACAAGGGTTACCATAAAAAGGGGGAAAAATCCACACAGATTTTTGATACAACCTGTCCTGTTGCTAAATTTAATTTGTAAACACTTTAATTGTCATATTCATTCGATTCTAAGCAAGGTTCCAACCCCCCCCCCCCCCCCCCAACATGGGGCAACAGCCTTGTCTTAGTATCAGACTGCTCTACCTGGGAGCTGTGAGGAGAGGCTGTCCAGAAAGCCCAGATCAGCTGGGGACAGCAGCAGTGATACACAGGTTTCTCCTTCCAGTGTCTGCTCCATGCCTGTCTCCCCTCCCTGCCTCTCCCTCACTCAACCATTTGCCACGCTGGCACAGAGCAGACACTGGAAAGACAACCCTGTATGCCACTGCTCTGCTGTCCCTGGCCTCCCCACAGCTGACTCCCAGCTGATTCAGGCACATGGGGAGCTCCATACCTGCTGCTGCTGTAAGGAACAGCATCAGTAACATGCAGCTTCCTCCTTCCAGCCTATGACAGATCAAGGAGAAGTAATGGTCTCAAGTTGCAACAAGGGAAGTTTAGGTTGGATATTAGGAAAAACTCTCTCAAGGACAGTAGTAAAGCACTGGAACAGGCTACCCAGAAAAGCTGTGGAATCTCCATTCTTGGAGGTTTTTAAGACCCACCTAAACGAAGCCCTGGCTGGAATGATCTAGTTGGCGATGGCCCTGCCTGGAGCAGGGAGTTGGACTAGATAATCTCCTGAGATGCCTTCCAACACTAATTTTCTATGATCGGTTGCCCCTGACACGTACCAGAGGCAACATTCGTTTCTGTAAGAACTGAAGTGTCAGAAGATTCTCAGATGATTTACAAACATTGATAGAGGTAACAACATGGCTACTATTTTATCTTCCTGCTTACTATGATGATCCTATTTTACTAATGGAAAACTGACAGGCACCGATATTAGGGCCCCAAATGCTGCAAGCACTTATACATGGGGGTAGCTCTACATGCATAAACAGTTGCACTGAACTTAGTGAGATATTACATGCAGAATGAGAGCCTACAAAACTTGCTTCATTTAAAAAAGCAAGTTTATGGCAAAGCTACTAACTGAATGCAAATCTCTTAAGCTGCACTAACAACAGATTATCCTGTTTTCCCTGGATTCAAAGAATTTCATTCTCATCCCTTCATTTTGGACAGCTTGGCTACCTCATCTACATGGCCTAAGTCAGGACTACGTAACTTCCAAGTGACCAGGGACGAGAGACTCCCTGGCCACATGCTGCACCACACAAGAATCCCTACAGGTCTCACCACACACCTACCTCCTGCCGTGTCCAGGAAGCTTGTGCCCTGTCCCCACCCTGCTATACGGTGCTGGCACCATGCTAACATGCCACACAGGGGCTGTGCGTTTCCTGGAGCTGTCTGGCTGTGGGTTCCCTCAGCCCTGCAGAGGATGTGACCCTGCCCTGTCCTCAGGGGTGGGGGCAAGAAGCTGGAGGGAGAGGGAACCCTGGAACTCTAGCTGCAGCAGCAGCTGAAGCAGTGGGGGGAAAACAGCACCCAGACCAGGAGCCCAGGAACCACAGGTTAACTCAAGGGCCACATGCAGCCCTGGCCTAAGTAGTAATGTCACAGAAGATGTCACCAGATGGCACTATTTAAGGCAGCCTTACATTTATTTTTCTTAATATGCATGTGCTGTATGACCTTGGAGCTCTGGAAAATAACAAGAGGTTTTGCTCTCTCCTTTAACCTAACTAGAAATCATCGGTGGTGCAAACTTCCTTCCAATGAACCTGGCATTGAAGTGTGAGCTGAGATTCTTGAAAAAGAAGATTATCTGCAATGCTGTTTTCTGGCATTTCTATTGAAATGCTGATGCATAATGTAGCATAAATAAAACAAACTACCCACAGGGAATACTAATAACCTACATATCTTTGTTTTCTCCTTAAGTGGAAAACTGACCAGAGTAGATCAGTTTCCATTAGCTGGAAACAAATATTTGGTTAAATTATTAGCCGTAAAGTGTCAATACAAATTTTGAAACCCAAATCCCAAATACCTAGTCTGGGCTGGCAACATGGATTGACCAGGCATACAGCACCTTGACTACCATGTAAAAAAGTTTTTTCAGGAAAAGGAGACAACCAGAAAACTGATCAAACTGAAATGTGCTAACATAAGATGAACTGCAAACAGGTCTTAGAAAACTACAAAACTCCCATGACCAAAAACTCCAGAGCACACAGACTATCCTAAATATCAGCTGCTTGGAGGAAGAATCAAGCCAACCAGAAAACCTGGGTAAGAGTAGAAATCAATATACTTCACCCATTTTATATCCCTGAAGAAGTTCAGAGGCAGAAGAAACAAAGGTTCTGATTACAAAACCCCATGCTCTTTGAAGGATAAATCTCCTGGGAAGCTTTCTTAACTCAATTTATCATATTAGAAATTAATGCCTTGCAATATGAATGAGAAGCATTTTAGGAGATCGCTGTTTCTAGCAATTAAATTTAAGTCAGTCAGTGCTGAGGTTTATCCCCAAAGAGAGAGCCTGGGGGGGTTGAAGAGCACAGCTGGTTGTTCGACAGCAGCCACCCGTGTGCTGCTCAGGATTAAGCTAAGGCAATGGTCACCAACCAGCGGATCTCAATCCACTGGTAGATCTCAGAGCCTCTTGGAGTCAATCCAAGGCTGGGGTGGGAGGCTTGAGTGCCTACGTGCACGCACACGTGTGCCCCAGCCCAGCAGGTCAGTCCGTGGGGGACAGAAGGGGCAGGGGCCAGATCAAGGCCCCTGCAGTGAGGGACAGTGCTGCAGAGGCAGGAGCAGGAGTAAGCTGGGTGGGGCCCCTGCTAGGTGGGACTCACCTGCTGGGTAGGTGCACCCGCAAATAATTTTTTTCCTTCTGCCTCCATCTGCCCCCCCTCCTTTCCCTCCCCACAGACTTACCTGCTGGGCAGGGGAGAAGTAGGAAGGGGAGGTGGGGCAGCAGCAGTGCACGGTAGATCTTGGGTTGCTTTTAAATGCCAAAGTTGATCTCCTTAGGTAGGAGACCACTGAGCTAAGAGACCCCACCTCAGCTGAGAGAAGACTGGTGTTTTGGCCTAAACAGATACCAGCAGGGATATTTAAGATAAATTAGCAATAGACCAGCTAACTGATGGGTGTGGACTAAGATCACCAAGACAACAATGACACTTGGTATTTTTATTTTTGTTTCTATCCCCAACTGGGGAAGCAGCTCGGGCACTTGTCCGCACCCTGAGGTGAAAGCAATGGGTGTGTGATGAAAGATGTCTCCTCAGCCCAACCATCTGCAAGAAGCGAAGGATTCCCTGTTCACCGAACAGGGGCAGATGCAGACCCCACCATGCAGGCAGACACTGCCCAGAGGAAACCAAAACCTCAGAGAGGCTCAGATGGGGAAAAAAAACAAGGTGCCAAAACACAGAAGGCAGTGCAGGTGCCCAGCCGTCAGCAGCACAAACGCTGCCACTGTCAGCCACCTACCGCGAGCAGCGCAGGGCGATGAGGGCACCACGTACCTGCTCCAGGACGTCCAGCTTCAGCTCCAGCTTGCTCAGGACCACGTCTCCTCCCCATAGCGACAGCTGCAGGTCCGAGGGCTTCAGGTTCTTAATGTAGCGATTCACGTAACTCATTAAGATGGGGGTCACGTAGGACTCCAGCATCCTGGCAGAGCCGCGGCCGCGGCCAAGCGCTGGGGGAGGAAAGGGAGAGCTGGTCAGCGCCGGCCCTCGCGACACAGGCCAGAGGGAACCACAAGCGGCGGCAGCCGCGGGGCTTGGGGCCCGGCTGTTCCCAGCCAGGCAGTTGGCGGGGGACCGGCCCGGCACAGCCCGTCATATGCCGCCGCCGTCGCCCGCCCCACAGGTCCGCCCCTCACCGTGGCCGGTGGCAGCGGCTGGAGCCGCGCAGCGGCAGCTCAGCCGGGGAGGCGGTTCCGGGTTCTGCGGCCGGTGCCTCCCCGTAACGGGTCCCCCTCGCGCCCGCTCGCAGCTGCTGCCCGGCCGGAAGGGTTGGGAGGTGACACCGCGAAGCGGAAGCACCGGCCGAGGGCAGGGGCAGGGGAGGCTCCTGCTGGGGGTGGGGCGCGGGCTGCAGGGTTGCGGGCGGGTTCCTGTGCGGCTTGGCTCGTACGGCCTCCGCCTGCGCCTCCGCGCTCCACGTCTGTGTGGGCCGGCGCAGGCTTCTTGGTCGTCTCAACTGCTGGCCTGATCCCTCGCCATGTTTGGGGATGAAAATAAAGCAGCTTGCAAGGGGCCGGGCAGTAGGTTTCCTTGCTGACTGGGGGCTGCGCGGGACTGAGGGTTGCCCCGGCGTCTCTAGGAATTACAGCGAAATCTCCAGGAGACTGCTGAGAGTCACCCGGGAGATGAGTGACAGGGCATTCATTGAAATAAATATTCAGTGTTGAACCTGATTTGTACCGTTGTCCAGTGGGTTTTTTAAATGCCATAGTCATGTGCATTTGCCTTCCTGATGTAAAGTCATTCGTGGCGTTAGACGTGACGTCATGAAGCCTCCCAGAATAGATTCAGAGTTGGCAACCCCGGTGGGACGGCAGCATCCGCGCAGCAAGCCCAGCCTTTCGGGTCAACCAGCTGCGCGGAGCGAGGGCCTGGGCTCAGCCTCAAGCCTTTCTTGTTTCAGGCCATGAGGGAGGCCTGTGTAGCCCAGTCCGCTGTGCCACAGTCAGTGCTGAAAGGGAGCGTGAACTGGGTCTGGCCTGGGTTTTTTTCCGCTGTTCCTCTCTCACTTGCACCCTCTAACATTTAAGGTCTGATTCAGAAGCCATACCCCTAACTCCCAGGCTCAATAGCTTCTGATGTCCCTTTCCACTGACTATTTGTCCAATCCCTTTTTGTATCTGGCTGAACTGTCAGCCTCATCCTGTTTCCGTCAGCCAGTCGGATTGTGAATAAAGCATTACGGACAGACAGACAGACTTAGGCTTTTATAATATTAGAATGTGTGTGTGTATATTTGTATATATATGTATGTACTAGCCAACTGCCCATCAAAAATGACAGGGGGGGTGGGCAGGGACAGCCTATGTCCCTTCCCCCCTGCCTCAGGCTAGTGCTAGGGCTGGGGCTGGCCATTCCCCCTCTCCCTGCCCCCCCTGTTTTGGGCCAGGGCCAGGGCTGTTCCCCACCTCCCTCCCCCTCCCCACTGCTTCGGTCGGGGGCCAGGGCCACTCCCCCCATCCCCCCACCACTTTGGGCAGAGGCCCGCAACCGCAGCGGTGTTCACGGGGGCAGTAGGGCGCAGCTACCAGTAACCCCCGCCTCTCCTTCTTGCTCCCCTCCCTACCCTGTTCCGAATCAGATTTGGCTGAATTGATTCAGGACAGTGATTTGCTGTCCCCCCAAATCGTCCAAATCTGAAGCGAGTACCAGCCTCTTTGCACAGGCCTAATGTGTGTGTGTGTGTGTATGTGTATGTGTATGTGTATATATATACACACACATACATACATACACACATATATATACACATAAACACACACACACACACATATATATAGTATGTATTTTCAGAACAGTTATGGGCATGAGATTTCATTCAGATACCACAACAAATGACAGATGCAGTAAAAGAACCTACAGAGAACAGTGCTGGAGTTTAAAAAGAATGTAATTTTGGTCTTTTAAGAATATAATTTCTGAGAAAATTTTGGAAGATATGTAGGCACATCTAGTTTTCAGGGGTGAAATACACATAGGAATTGGCAGTTTTAGGTAAAGTAGAAACAACAGAATCCCTTCAGTAGCAAGGTTTTAGGAAATATAAAGGTATTTGGCTCATTTTCACACTTCATGTTTTATATATCCTTTGGGTATATGAGACATCTTTCATTTTTGCAGCTAATGGGATGAATACACAAAAAGCCCAACAGAATCAAACAAAAGGATACTATTTCTGTTTCTAGTGCATGAAACACGATTATGACAAATGGTATCAACATATGTTTGTAAAGAGGCATAATTTATTGCAGGCCATAGGCATGAATAAATTTATGATATATAGCATACATTTCACATCAGTTTTGCCTGACTGTACTATACAAAAAAATAAGTAGTGAAAATGGCGACTTCTAAGATAACTTTTTCCCTCTGCTTGGTTCCACTTTTGAGGCATTAAAAGGGGAAAAGTATGATATAGTAAATAAGCATTATTCACAAGTGTTAATGTTTCTTTTATAAGTGAAATCAACAAATGAGAATTTTTTGGTTTTAGAAATCATGTATGTTATTAAAAGGTAACTGAATAATGTCCTCATTCTACCCTCATTTGATTTTTATTGAATGGATGGGTGAAAAAAAGCAGTTATTTTTTGTTTGGAGGCTGCTAAAAGTCTAATGACCTATGTTATGTATAGAGCTAATTTGTTTTCTCATTTAAGTCCTATGTCTAGCTGATCCTGCAGATGGAATCAAAAAAACTTTGGCAGAAACTTCAATGAAAGACATTGCCTTAAGGTTTCATTTTACTCTAAAATAATGTGTGAGAATGTGCGCATTACATGACTGTTGTGAGATAACCATACAGCATTTATGCAACTTAGATATAACAAACTGATAAAAATGTAGGGACTCCATACCTGAGAAAAGCTTAACTTAAATTAGTACTGAATGGCCCTCTTTTAATCTGATTGCCTGAGACAATGTCACTTGAAAGAAATACTTCTTGTTTCTACAATGGCCTTATGTGTACCTGTAGCTTTACAAACAATACATGCTCCCTGTTTGGAAGATGTTAGTCTAATCCAGAGACAGACAAAGTCCGGCCCTAAGGCCAGATCAAGCCCATGACAGACTCCATTTCCCAACAGTCCTTGCCTGCATCACTCCAGCCAATCTTCATGGACACCCCAGGACCAGCAGGGTCATGAAAGCCTGGAGCCAGGGTCTCCATGGAGACTGGCCCGCGCAGTGCTGGCAGGGGAACTGCTCCAGGGGAGTGGGGAACTACTCCAGGGCCAGGGCTGGGGCCAGGGCTGGGATCGCGCAGTGGTGACAGCATGGGCTGGAGCCAAGGCAAAGCTGCAATCCACTGCCCATATACCTTGGGCAGGGGCATGCAGGTAGCAGAGCGCGACTTGGCCCAGGTTCCAGCCATTACTGTCACCACCACAAAATCTCAGCCCTGGAACAATTCCCTATCCAGCCATGTGCCCTGCCAGCACTACTTGGGCCAGTATCCATGGAGGCTGTGGCCCCATGCTGTCGTGACCCCACCATTCCTGAGGTCTCCACGGAAAACAGCTGGAGTGATATAGGCAGGGGCTGCTGGGAAATGGAGTCCGGCTGCCAGCTGGCTCCACCATTTTGCCCACCCCGGTAATCAGGCCATGTAAAGACAAAGGATTCACTGGAAGAGATATATAATTAAGAATTATGTAATATGGATGAATTAGGTTCAGATGTTATCACTGTATCATCCAAGTGCCCTAGTTGGGATTGGGGACCCATTGCACTGTTGTTGTTTGTCCTTCGAATTTGAAGATGACCAAAGGGGGAAGAGCCCCACAGAAGACTTGCCAACAGAGTTACCCTGGGTGCTATAGCACGGGTGAGCAAAATACGGTTTGTGGGCCAGATCTGGCCTGCGAGGCCATTCTATCCAGCCCGTGGGGCTCCTAAAAAATTTAGAAATGACAGAAACCAAGGGCAGTAAGACCCAGGGGAAGCCCGGTGGGCTCCCACTACAGCAGGGCCTGCCTGGCCCCGCCCCCCCCAGCAGAAAGCCCCAGCAGGGGCTTCTGGCCTGGAACCACGTGGCTGCCCCACACCGGAACCTCAGGTGGGGGGGACCCCAGGCAGGGAAGGAGCCTGGGGAAAAGCTGAGCACAAGGGGAGATAAGTGGCCCCTCGCCCGCCCCATGGCCACCACCCCATGCTGCAGCCGCTCGCAGCCCACATGGGGCTGCCTGTGCCTGCTCTAGATAGCCCTACATGGGCTGTGAGCAGCTGCAGCAGGGAGTGCCAGCCATGGGTCGGGTGAGGGGGCACTTTTCCCCACGCTCAGCACCAGCTTCTTCCCTGCCGGTGAGGAGGGGGTCGGGGCTGTGTGCTGCACCCCGCCTGGACTTCAGGGCTGGGGGGCACTGGGAGTGAGTGAGCGAGGAGCCAGCAGGAGCATGGGGCCCGCACTGGTGTCCTGGGGCCAGTGGCAGCAGGGCCCAGAGCAGGGTGGCAGAAGCACAGGGTCCCAGCTGGCAGCGGCTCTGTCCAGGGGCGGGGCTACCCATGCAGCCCTCAACAGCCTGCCAAAACTGAATAAGTGGTTCTCTGCCCAAAATAATTGCCCACCCCTGCCTACAGGAACCACTGATCACCACCTGCAGAGGTAAAAACCCAGTGTAACCAGCAAGTTGTGGTGGGTGAATAGACCTAAGTGCAATGTGGCTCAAGAGGCAGGGCACACCCATCAACTGGTACAGTGGTCATGAGCCTATCACAATGCTGTTTCACCACCTTGTGTCTGTTTAGTTTTTGTTGACATTTTATTTTTTTTAAATGGTTCTGATCTAGACCTACATAGCCCGTTCTTTCATTTAACCTCTTCACCAGTAACTGGTACCAGTTCTTTATATAGTATTCAAACAAATGAAATGTCATGTCACTTCTGTATCTGGCCACAGTGCACAGGAAAAACTTTTGAAAATGCTTAGATGTTGATTAGCAGGGAAATAGTTAGCAATGCTGGTATTAAAGTGAACATTCTCATCCATCAGTCCAAAAGTGAAGAACTGCAAGACTATATCTTCAGTTACACTGGTGACACTTAGGGGGTGCACGCAGGTGCACGTGCACCCCGAGATTGGCCATGCACCCGCTAGAAATGCTAGCCACAAAACCGGAAGTACTGGCAGAAGTACACTTCCAATTTCACCACCAGTGATTTCGGGTTCAGTGATCAGCCGCAGGGGGACACCCCCCACCCCAGTCAGTGATTGGCCCTCCCCGGTTGGT